TAACCTGTAGTAGATCTTCTATCAGACACAGAGCCTGCCCAATCTGCATCTGTATACCCAATTACTTCAAGTTTTCCTCCTGGTTTGTACAATAACCCACAGCCTAGAGCTCCCTTTAGGTACCTTACAATTCTAAGAACTGCATCCCAGTGAGGTATTCGAGGATTCTGCATAAATTAGCTCACCACACTGACTGCAAAGGAGATGTCTGGTCTCGTGACAGTCAAATAGTTCAGCTTCCCCACTAGCCGTCTATACCTTCTAGGATCATCAAATATTTCCCCTGTATCACTGCTCAACTTAGCATTTGGCTTCATGGGAGTTTTAGCCAGTTTTGCACCTAACAGTCATGTTTCATCCAACAGATCACGAACATATTTTCTTTGGCACAGGTTTACACCTTGTCTTGATCTAGCAACTTCTATACCCAAGAAATACTTCAATGTCCCAAGGTCTTTTGTTTGAAAATGATTTTGCAGAAAGGCCTTTAGTTTATCGATCCCCAATTTGTCATTACCAGTTATGACAATATCATCCACATAGACCACTAATAAAATCTTTTCGGCTTCTGAATCATAGTTGAACACCGAGTGGTCAACCTGACATTGTTTCATTCCAAAATTCCTCACCACTTCACTAAACTTCCCAAACCAAGCACGAGGCGAATGTTTCAACCCATAAATTGCCTTTTACAGTCTGCACACCTTACCATCCTCCCCCTGAGCAACAAACCCAGGTGGTTGCTCCATATATACCTCCTCCATAAGGTCACCATGAAGGAAGGCATTTTTAATGTCAAGTTGAAACAAGGGCCAATCATACACTGCTAGGGAAATTAAGACACGGGCAAAGCCAATCTTAGCCACTGGAGAGAAGGTCTCCATATAGTCCACCCCATACAACTATGAATAACCTTTACCAACAAGTCTGGCCTTCAGACGCTCCACACTACCATCTGGCAAGTATTTAATAGTATACACTTATTTACAACCCACAACATGCTTACCAGGTGGAAGAGTAGTGAGCTCCCACGTGTGAGTATGCTGAAGGGCAGAGAGTTCCTCCTCCATTGCCTACCGCCACCCAGGTGAGCTAAGAGCCTCTCGGACATTCTTAGGTATAGAAATAGATGACAATAGTGAAACAAACTGGCGATTTGAAGGAGAAAGGCGAGAGACTGAAACAAAATTGGAAATGGGATGGAGGGTACAACTACGTTTACCTTTTTGTAAAGCAATGGGAAGATCAAGTCCTAAAGGTTTAGGGACAGAAGCAACAACAGGATCCGCAGACAAGGTAAAAGCTGGGGGAGGAGCCGGTGTCTGTCGATGAGTATATACGTGCCGGATCGGTGGTCGTTCAGTAGGGATCTGCACTGGAGGAAGTGAAGGGTCAACCCCAACTGGAACACTCGGAACAGGATCACTGGCTGGAAGAGGAAGAGGAAGCAAAGGTGGAGACACGGATACTTCAGGTCTCGAGAAGAAGGGGACAGACTCAAAAAAGATGACATCAGGACAGACATAGCACTTCCGAGTAATGGGATTGTAACACATGTACCCTTTTTGAGTCCGAGAGTAGCCAAGAAAGACACACTTAATAGAGCGTGCATCTAGCTTGTCTATTCCAGGACTCAGATTGTGAACAAAGCGCACACAGCCAAAGATACGAGGTGTTAATGGAAAGGGAGACCAACCATGAAGAATGAAGGAGGGCATCCGATTAATAAGGAAACACGCAGTAAGTACAGCATCACTCCAAAATCGTTTAGGAGCACTCATATGATGAAGAATAGACCGAGCAGTTTCAAGGAGATGACGGTTCTTTCGTTCAGCCACCCCATTTTGTTGAGGAGTGGATGCACATGAAGTTTGATGAATGATG